AAGGCATTCCGTTTAAGCGTTGTGCTGAAAAGCAGGGGCCATATCCCTCCAGGTCAGCTCTAGAGGGGTGCTCTTGTTTGTTCTCTTTAAGAGGAAAAATACTCTGGAATAAAGTGGTGTAGTCTCTTAAAAAGTTTGAGATTTTTTTTAAAAAAAATTACAATATCTGTAACTTTATACACTGCAGAAGCCTTACTGTGGGGCTTTAGAGAAGGGTGAATGATTTAGATGATTTTGTCCTAGCCTAATAGTGTGAAAACTGCTGAAAAGAAGTCAATACATTGCTTAAATCCATTGCTGTTGTTGGAGCACGTTCCCCACCGCTGTTTAAACTACGCAGCCTAGGGAAGCGCTATTATCTGCAGCTCAGCTTGAAAGAAGTGTGTAATCCTGCAAATACAGATCTTGGCTCAAAAGTAATAGCTCGTGAGTTGACAAGGCGACTGTGCCTTTTCTAAATATGCCCGGGGTCGTCAGTGTGGTTTGTGGTCATGGACACCAGGGTCAGGAGAGGCAGGTCCCCCCTCCCCTCGAGGTGGGGGATTCACCTCCTCAGGCCTTGTTTTTGGGGAGGCAGCGGTGGAGGATTCCCAGTACCTCTTGCAGGCGATGATGTGGGGCATGCTGCTGGGACTTGGCCTCTTTGCCCTTTTAAAAGTCTGCCAGGAAACCCCTTCCACGGGGAAGCAATGGTTGTATCAGGATAGTGGACATCTTTACCTGCTGCCAACAACAGCCAGCACTGAGGTAAAAAAATTATAATTGAGTTAATTAGGTGGCTTGTACTATTGTCTACACAGAGGTTTTTTCATCAAAACTTCCTGGATTTAAGCAAAATGTTAAATTGCTGTGGAGCAACAGTGAGAAATGGTTTTTAACAGCATCCTGCCGTTGAGGGGCCATGGTGGGCTATCATGTCCTCTCCTCTTTTCCTGTTGTAACAGCATTCATTGTAGCTGCCTGAAGTTTGGCTCCTTGGCTCTCTGCCTTTAGTGCCATTTGAAAAAAAAAAAAAAAAAAAAAAAGAGGAAATAGTTCTGGTGCACTGTAACTTTTAGGCTGTGACAGGTGGGGTGGTGCTGGTGAGGGGAACCTGGACACTGCGCCTGCTGCCTGTGGAACCTTCTAGAAGGGGGCCCTGAGCATGCTCAGTGGGAGGGGCAGCCATTTTAGTGCCCATCCTGCTGCTGCCATGAGGAGTGGATCAGTGCATGGCCTCGGAGCTTGCCCTGCTGCTGGCAGTGGTAACGCCAGCCAGAGGGGCAGAAAGTGATGGCAGAGGAGAGGACAGAGGAACGGCATGCTAGCGAGAGTCTGCAGCCGTTTGCTCTGAGATGTGCTGGCTACACTGCAGCACATTTAAAGTCTTATGTAGATGAGCCAGGAGCTCCTGGGGTAACAGGCGCCAATGGGGATGCACGGTTAATACACTGAAAAGGAATGACGCCTGGAGAGGAGCACAAAGGAATTGCAACTGCTTCAGCCAAGTCAGCCTCAACAAGGACACGGCCTAAATGCCTCTATGCAAATGCACGTAGCACGGGGAATAAACAGGAGGAGCTAGAGATGTGTGCAAACCTCCAAGGCTATGATCTCATTGGCATCACAGAAACATGGTGGGATGTCTCCTACGACTGGAGTGTTGGCATGGAAGGCTACAGGCTCTTCAGGAGAGACAGGCAAGGGAAATGAGGAGGCAGTGGTGCCCTATATGTCAACAATCAGGTGGAGCGTATGGAGCTTGGCCTAGGGATGGATAAAGAGCTGACTGAGAGCTGTGGGTTAGAATTAAAGGGAAATCAGGAGCATGGGACATTACAGTGGGGGTCTAGCTACAGGCCACCTGACCAGGAAGGCTGAGCGGATGACACATAGGGGTGGCATCGCATTCGCAGGCCCTGGTCCTCGTGGACCTATAGACAGATAGGGGTGGCATTGTGTTCACAGGCCCTGGGCCTCATGGGCGACTTCAACTACCCCGGCATCTGTTGGAAGGATAACACCACAGGGCATAGGCAATCCAGGAAGTTCTTGGATTGTATTGACGACAACTTCCTTCTCCAAGTGGTAGAGGAGAGTAGATATGCTGGACCTTGTCCTTACCAACAAGGAGGGGCCGGTAGGAAGTGTCAAGCTCAAGGGTAGCCTGGGCTGCAGTGACCATGAAATGGTGGAGTTTGAGATCCTCAAGGCAGCGAGGAGGGTGCGCAGCAAGCTGACCATCCTGGACTTTAGGAGAGCAGACTTTGGCCTCTTGAAGAATCTGCTTGGCATGGTGCCATGGGACAAAGCGCTGGAGGGAAGAAGGGCCCAAGACAGTTGACTAATATTCAAGGATCACCTCCTCCAAGCTCAGGAGTGATGCATTCCTGGAAACGGGCAGGTAGCCTGGGAGGAACAGAGAGAAATTGTTTGAGCAGCCAGGGATCAGGTTAGGAAAGCTAAAGCCCAAACAGAATTAAATCTAGGCAGGGACATCAAGACAAACAAAAAAATCCTGTTTGCGTGTGTGTGCTGATTGATGAGAAGCTCAACATGAGCCGGCAATGAATGCACGATTGCAGCCCAAAAAGCCAACCATATCCTGGGCTGTATCAGAAGAAGCGTGGCCAACAGGTCAAGGGAGGTGACTCTTCCCCTCTACTCTGCTCTGGTGGGACCCCACCTGGAGTATTGCATCCAGCTCTGGAGCCCCCAACATAGGAAAGACATGGCCCTGTTGGAGCGGGTCCAGAGGAGGGCCATGAAGATGATCAGAGGGCTGCAACACTTCTCCTATGAAGACTGGCTGAGAGAGTTGGGGTTGTTCAGCCTGTAAAAGAGAAGGCTCTGGGGAGACCTTATAGCAGTCTTCCAGTACCTTTAGGGTACTGAAAGGGGGCCTACAGGAGAGCTGGGGAAGGACTTTTTATGAGGGTGTGTAGGGGTAGAACGAGGGAGAATGGCTTTAAACTGGAAGAAGCTAGATTTAAATTAGATATTAGGAAGAAATTGTTTACTGTGAGGGCCGTGAGGCACTGGAACAGGTTGCCTAGAGAAGCTGTGGATGCCCCATCCCTGGACATGTTCAAGGCCGGGATGGATGGGGCTTTGAGCAACCTGGTGTCGTGGGAGGTGTCCCTACCCATGGCAGTGGGGTTGCAACTAGATGATCTTCAAGGTCCCTTCCAACCTAAACCATTCTATGATTCTGTGATTTAAAAAAGTCAGGTAAGCACGGTCATGAGCAGTCAGTGTGTAAAAGGGAGGCAAGAGTGTTTGGATGGTGCCCCCTTGGCTTGGAGGCCAGCTCCTTCTCTGAGGAGTGACGCAGGTAAACACAGAGGATTTGGACTGTGGGATGGAATGAAGTGAGCATCTTCTACTTCTGTGCCTTTCCATTGGTGGCAGAGGGGAAGCCTCTGGCAAATAGGGTCCTCCCTCAAGTCAGGATAAATCTGGGCCTCGCCTCCCTTTGAGGTCAAAGCAGATAGTACCCCTTCCAGTGCAAATTAAGGTGCTATGGGCCAATTTCTGACCTGGCAGAAAACAATATGCAGTTGTTGACTAAATTAGTTCTTTGCTTATTTTTGTGAGATGAGACTCTGTCCCTGTCAGCTAATGGTGTGGTGGTTGCATACTGCAACATGTGTGTTTTTCTTAGCATGTGCCACTGTTTCATATCTCTGTCCTAATGTTTATCAATATTGTTACTTAAATAAACAAATCCTTTTAATCTGTTTCTCTAGCAGTGTTGACAGCAAGTGCATTTATAGAAACTTCCGTTATTGCTTAAATCAGATTGCCTAAGGCACAAAAGTGTTTTCTGTCTGGGGGTTTGCCTCTGGTATCAGCAAGATGGAATTACTCTAAAAGTGCATCACTTTAGTCTGTAGATTATAAATGATGACTTCTCTTTGGTTATTTAAATTTTTATGTCCTAAATAAATACTGTGTATATCAAGAAGCTTTGGCATTACCTTAAGTACTTCCGGCAAGTAGTGGAAGGAATTTGGATTGGAAAGTACTTATATAAAGGAGTTACCGATACATTAAGTAGTAGAATTGAGCAGAAAGTTGGATGGATTTTTGTGTTCTCTGACTTCTTGAAAATTGTTTTCCATAGAGAAGTAATTAAAGGCTTTTAACAAAATAAATGGTAAAGATTAATTACAAAAGTGTAACATCCATGCGTTTATCAAAAGACAGCTGACAGCACAGCTTCCTGGCATTCTGTAGGCAGTGGTTGGTATAGTCCTGCAGATAATATCAATTTCTTTTTCCGTAAAATAAAGATAGAGGCTATAGCCGAGTGAGGGGAGAAAGGTGCTCCACTCATTGACCATTCTTTGCACAAGACTAAGCCCTGCACAAGACTAAGCCCTGAGGTACAGTAGTGTAGTACCACTTAAATCACTGTGCTTTCCAGTTGGGAGAATATAGTTGTTTCCCTGTGAATGAAGGCTGGATTATGTTATTTAGAAAAGGTAAATTGTGTTTCCAAACATGTTCCAATCTGCAGGTTGTATTCTGTTCTGTTATCTCATTGCCTAGTTCTCAAATTTGTTGCCATCAGGAACAGCATTTAGCTCTGAGATGGCTGACCTCACTCCGAATTTCACTCATTTCACTCAGTGTTGCTGTTCTTCATGGGGGAAAACTGACACAGAACTGGTGGTCTCTTCTGTTATTTTGTGGGAGTTTTTTCATACCCTTCTAACAGCTGTTTTTAGAAACCTAATAATTTGAAAATAATATTCCACCTAAATTTCCAAGGGTAAGAGCAAACAGTTTAAAAATTCTTACTCTGCAGTCCTCGAGCAACATATATGTTCCCAAAGAGTGTATCGTGAAGGTATTCTGAGCAGGATATGAGTGGCCTTTACCATCGAGGCAATTAGCTTAAAACTTGAGGGTTTTTCAGTATGCTGCTCGGTTTGTTGTTTTCCTCAGTGTGCAGTTGAAGAGCTCTCTCCTTAGTTCTGATTCTGACATGATGATTTTTCCCTGCCTCTTCCTAGTAACGAAGACGGTGTGCGCAGAGCAGTGTGATGGACGGTGTTACGGGCCCTACGTCAGCGACTGCTGCCACCGGGAATGCGCTGGAGGCTGTTCAGGACCTAAAGACACTGATTGCTTTGTATGTGTGAGACTTCTCATTTTTCTTGTTCCTAGCAGTCGCACTGCAAATTCTTAATGCTTTAATCCGTGAAATTCACAATTTTGTGCCTTTTAATGTATTGCATGCACACTCACACTCAGACAGATTTAGACTGCAAATCTTAGCATTTAATATTTTTCGCATTATATTAACATCACTTATCTACTTAATATTACCCATTAAGAGATTTATGAGATTTGTAAATACAGATTGGGAGCTATTAATATGCTAATCTCTGTGATTTTTATCTTTTGCTTTTCTAAAATTAACTTTTAGAGGTGATACAGAATTTTTGGAAGTATTTATCATTGCATTTGAGCATGGCTTTTATTACTGCTATATGTGCTTATTATTTGAAAGTTAAAAACACAATATAGCTTCTCTGTGAAAGGTATTCCCTAATACTGCTAGACTTGATTTAAACTCAGCCTTTTTACTGGCCAGGTTTCTTAGTGGAGATGGAAGGAAAGCGGTTTCCAAAATACACTACCTCAAATGCATGCTACTATGTGGGCTTAAGATGAAAAAAAGAAAAAGCCAAGTTTTTCCTTAAAAAAAATAGATAATCTGAACATGCAGGCCTTTAGACAAATCTGTCCAGTTTGTAGTCCATTATTGATAATCATAGTGTAAGCAGCTTCAGAACCCAACACCAATCTCAAAAAATCTGTACCTCATCACACTGGGTTGCAGAGACAAGTTTTGCTAATGTTTTCAGGGAAAGCAAACCTGGACCTAAAGAAGCCTAGAACTAGAACATGCACAGAGAGGTGGATTTTCAAAGGTACCCAAGTGATTGAAGAGGCAGATATCTATGAAGTTGGATAGGCTTTTTTAAAAATCTGCCAGATAGGACTGGGAGGGGCGGTATCTTATGGTATGGACAGTTGTAGATGTTTTGATATTGTAGGCAAGTGGATTATAATGAACCAGCAAAAATTAATCTTTCTCTGGCTGAACCTGAAACTTTCTCACTGTTAAGTATTGTTTGATAATGGTAGGTGTTGGGCTTAAAAAACGCATTCTAAATGCTATTCTTTTGCTGCTGATGAAATGCAGTGACTTAACTGCTAACAGGTTTTACCAAAACTGTTCTTTGTGGCTGGGGCTTTGTGCAAGCAGATACTCAGCACCTGTGGTATGCTTGATCCAATGCTCGCTGGAAGTTCTGTGTTAGCTTTGGACTAGAGAGATGGGAAAATAACATTCATTCCCATGTCATGTACAATCTAAACAGGTAAAGGAATGAGAAAAAATGCATTTATTGTACCCGTATGACTGTTGAGGAACATCCTCAAAGCGGATGTGTTGAACCCACATCTTGTGTGTCCATTTTCAAAGGTTAAGGACAAGCTATTTGCAGCATAAGTTCTGTAATACTGCAGCCTGAAAGAAAATGAGTTAGGCTTTCTGAATTGTTACAGTTATGGAAATGTGTATGCTAAAAATCAAATAGCGTTTTTGCTCAGATCCAGCAGGGAAGCACCCAGGGCTTTATTCTCATTCACTCCTGGCCCGAGAGCAATGTAAAAGAAATTCAGCAGGGATCTGGCAATTTTCAGGGTTAGTCATTACTTGCTTAGTACACACTGGGTGAAAAGTGTAATCCTTTAGGCTATAGACAACTGTGCTTATTTTTCAGCTGAGATACAACTTTGTTTTTTCCCTGTGTATGTTCCTGTGCTTTCATTTACAAAGCAGTGGCATTTAGCACCAAATGCTAGAATTTTGCATATGTTATTGAAGCAATTCCAAATGTACATAGAGCATTATAGTAATAAATTAGAAATTCCCAAATCTTCTAGGTGGGCTTTTCCTGAGAAGTGCCATCTCTCTGAACGGTATCAGTGTGCTTTTCCTTATGAATTTGCTAAACCATTATCAGAGGATTGTCATGTACATGATAGAGTACCTTTTAAGTCAACACCAGATGTGAAAAAATATATCAAGGAAACAAGCTAAATCAGTATTTATTAATAAGCAAAAGTACAGTTTATGAAGCATTACAAATCCTTTAGCATATTATGGCAGCTTGCAACAGCATCCTGTTGTAAATATGGTTTTAATATTTCTAGATAAAACTCACCCATCCTCCTCCATATGCTGCCATACACTCATTTGCATATTTGATTCTAAAAGCAAGACAATAATCATCATCTGACATAACTGAAAGCAAGCATGCTAAAACAAAGTTTTAAAGATGTTCGTGTCTTGTATTCAAAACAAAACTGGATCTAAAACTTGAAATGCATAGCAGGGCCTGGTTGAGTGCTCACTGGAACCAGAAAAGTGACGCAACCCTATTTGTAGACTGGACTTCCCATCCAGTTCTTGGTAAGGATGTAACTGACTGTATTAATCTTTTTTTTTCAAAAAGGTAAAAAAAAAAACAGAAGAAAACAAAACCCCTAAAACAACCCAAACCCCCAAACTGGTTCTTTGGGAAACTGACAGTTTTTATAATACTTATTTAAAGAACCAGAAAAGACAGGATGAGATTGGCTTACCTGCAAGCTCCTGAGGAGTAGTGCTCACGCTCCATGTAGGACAATAGGACAGTGCCTTCATTATGTAACACCCTGTTTGTCCCTTTCAGCAGCAGATTTTGTCCTTCTCCCTTGGTTACATTATTAGCCTCCCCCTTCTGAAATCTTCTGACGTGACAGGTAACCTCCCTCAGTCCTGCTGGTCCTGATCTGAATGGATATAAGAACTGTTAGTAAAAGCGGCAGAACAGAGGAATCTTTTTCACTTTTCTCTCAGTTCCAGCCCTGCGGGGAGGGGACATGACACACATGTTGGTATACTTGCTGACTCCTTAAAAATTCAAAACCATCTGTATTTTTTACGATCTGGAAAAGGAGCAGAAGGATTCATCCCTAGACTAAAACTTATATGGCAACCTGGCTTCTGGAAGACAGATTAGTGGGGAAGCAGAATCCAGTAGCAGTAGTTGCTTAAACTGCTAGAGGGATCCAAGCCAGGCTACGGCTTTCATATTCGTATGAAATTTGACATTTACGGTATGCTTTGTGAATATTACTCCCAACAGTTTTTTATAAGCTGTGGTTAAAACCGTAGACACGATATGTGGTGATAAGGATTCTCAAAATCAGTGTTTTTCTATTCCTAATTATCAACCTTGCATGGTCAATTATTTTCCCTGCATACCATTACTCTCTTTATCCACACACTTGCCTCTTCATTTGTCAGGGCCCTGTCCTCTGTCAGCTGTGGGTGGCTGAGCTTGAATGCTAAGTGATACAAAGTCTTATTTTCTTTCTCAGTGTGTGAAGCAACTGACCTTGTTAAACTCGCCACTTAGGGAAATGACCCCCTCCTGTGCTAGCTCAAAAGAAGCTCTTATCCCTCTTGCTTTCTAATTGGGAATTTTAGTTTTCAGCTGGACGATGGACTCATGCTGTAAGAAATCTAAAGGCTGGACCTCTGAAAAAGTCATTAGCATTTGTTTAGACTGACTATGATAAAGAGCTGTTCACTCTTGGCTGTTTTCGAATGTCTATCAAGTTGTGAATTAGTTGATTGCTAGTAGTAACAATAGTTATGAAACAAATTACAGTGTTGTTATAGTTTTGTAGGAAGTGCTGTAACAGTCAACTACGCTTCAAATTAAGGGGGCTCTTTGAGCCCCGTTTTATAAGTCATGTATTTGCTAAGATCCTAGCAAGAAATCTAAGTAGTCAAAATAAAAGTTAGAAAACTATATATCACATCCCTCACTGTTGCAACACATCTGAACAATCAAGACTGTATTTTAAGCTAAAAAAAACCACAAAAAAACCCCAAACAAAAACAGCTGTATAATTTAATTTACTATTTTTTTTCTCCCTTGTTTTTCAGGCCTGCATGAATTTCAATGATAGCGGTGCATGTGTCACACAGTGCCCCCAGACTTTTGTATACAATCCTACCACCTTCCAGCTGGAGCATAATCACAATGCCAAGTACACCTATGGGGCTTTTTGTGTCAAAAAGTGTCCACGTAAGTGCTGTGTTAGCTGCCTTTTCCTGCAGTGATGGAAAGTTTGAGTTGCATTTCAGGAGCCTTACAAAACAATGAGAGAATGAGAGCCGAGTGAAGTGCACAGTGCAATATCTTGCATCACTCCACATGTGCTTGCAGCCTGTAATAACTCAGTCATGTGTTAACCAAAGGCAGTGACATTCCGGGTTGCTGACACTTCCCAAGTATCCTACGCTATAGGGATTTTCTTAAAGACAGGGAATTCACTAGGTGTCTTCATGATCACCACTTGTTACTTTCATGCTTTAGATCAGCATTTGTAAATTTCAAAATGAATTGTTAAAATAGTTAGTGTGATTGTAAAAGGGTATAAATTTCTGTTTAAGAAAAATAACAGTCCACCATCAGTACCACCTGGCACCAAATGCTTTCACAATACTTTTCTCAACTTGGAGTAACGACGGTTTGACAGAAAGTTACCATAAATATTTTCTGAGCAGTTCTGGCCAATGAGGAAAACCCATGCAATACTGATAACAATAGTCTTAAAACTCCAAAGTAAAATTAGAAGCGAAGAGGAAGTTAAAAAAAGAATAATCTCATGCATGTAAAAAACACATGCTTCTGAGATGCCAGACAGATGATGGCCAGTAACAGAAAAAATTAGAGGGTCATCACTTATGTGGTCTTTGATACCGCTGTTTTAGTTAGAAAGAAAAATAAGGGAGACGGTATTCTTGCTCTCCCTTTCATTCCCACCAACATTCACGGTTGTATTGTGCATTAAGTATTTTATATATAAATTACATATAAGGATGGGTGATCTATAGTAAGTGGAAATATAATTCAACTCAAACCAAAATCCAAATTTTGAATCTCTGTGGAGAAGTTCAGATTGACAGTAGACTGAGGCTGTGACTGTCAAGGCTTAGTTTTGCCTGTAATAGTGATGGGTTTTTTGAAGCAAGATAATTTTTTTTTTTTTACAAAACTGGTATAATGGGCACTACTTAAGGGATATGATTATTTGTCCAAATACTTCATTGAACTTTTTTCCTTTTTTTCCCTCCCTTTCTTGGCAGTATTAAGCTTTCAATTATGTAGCATCAGTCTATATCCCCTTTGGCAGTTGTTTTACAAGCCAAAATTGAAGTACTTGTCATTTTCTTGTGCAGTGTTTTATCCCAGATGTATATATTTGTATGTGTATGAAAGAGACAGGGCAGAGCATCTTGTTTTATTTCTCTCCAATTACTGTAGCTTTTTTTTACTACAAATAATAATAAAACCAAATTGGGGGAGATCATGCCTGACAATTCATGGACTTTCATAAGTCTCCGAAAACATGCCTAATTTGCTTGCTTATACACTGCTGAAAACACTGAACATAAAATGTTAATGTCAATGTGGAATTAATAATTAATTGTGGTAATTGATGTGGTAATTAGTAGTATATATTGACAGTGTCCAAAAACACGTGTCCCAGAATTATTTAGTCCAGTGGTTCAGTTTCTGCCAATATCTTCTTTTTCTCTTCAGATAACTTTGTGGTAGATTCCAGCTCTTGTGTCCGTGCATGTCCAAGCTCCAAGATGGAGGTCGAAGAAAATGGTATTAAGATGTGCAAGCCCTGCACTGACATTTGTCCTAAAGGTAGGCAGTAGTTTAGTATAAATTTTCTTAGATGTAGTCTACACTGTAGCAGAGCAGAACTGGTTGTTATTTTTGTTATTTTGGCATGAAATACCCTTCATGAGTTTGTTGTAGAATATTAATAGCCTTTGAATACCCACAGAACTTTGAGCTATGTAGGCTGTATGTGCAGTATATACAATAGAATGAGAATTTATTAAGTTGTAATGGTAATGTAACTAAACCAATTACTTTTGATTAGATAAAAATTAAAGGGATTTCTCTGTTGGTTTTAGAGAAATCTGAAAGAGTTCTTTATTATGTTATTTTAATGACAAGTATTTCCTGAAGGTGTTTTAGAGCTGTCTTTTGACATTGCATCGGGGGCCATACTAACGCCCTGGCTTCAATGTGTGGTATGTCTCATACTTGTCAATACAATGTTAGGTTTCCATTTATTTCCTCTGGTTTCTTAAAAAATGTCTCTGTTTTCCCAGAATCTTCTACCTCCTTTCTAAGTGTGTAAAACCTAGACTACAAGTTTTTCAGTGATGGTGCTCTTGAGGAGGCTGAAATCTATAGGTTACTTTGCTGTCCCAAGCTCCTCTAGGGAGACTTCCTGCTCCCTGCTTGAAGGTCTCAGTAGCAAAGCAGCACATGGCCCTATGCCACCTTTCAGTCCTACTGGGAGTTGTATCTGGAAGGGAATTCACAGTGAAGCTACTGAAAAACTCTGTGAATCAACAGCCAGTCCACATGGCTGAAAGTGTCAAACACAGAGATCTCTGCCAAGGCAGGGTACGGACGTGCTGAATTTTAAGAGAAGGCAATGTCCAGCCCTTTAACCTAATTGCAGTAAATAACTTTTATGCTGGATAGATAGTTCTATGCATGAAAATACATGTGTAGTGTTCCTGTCTAGCTCTTAGCCTTACTCTGTGAGGAGGAATGGCAGAGCTCAAAGGGTTGTGATCAGCAGTGCAGAGTCTAGTTGGAGGCCTGTAGGTAGCGGTGTTCCCCAGGGAACTGGGGAAACTCTGGGTCTGGTCTTGTTCAACATATTCATCAATGACGTGGATGAGGGGACAGTGTACCCTAAGCAAGTTTGCTGATGACACAAAACTGTGAGGAGTGGCTGACGCACCTGAAGGCTGTGCCGCCATACAGCAAGACCTGGACAGGCTGGAGAGCTGGGTGGAGAGGAACCTCATGAAGTTCAAAAATCACAAGTGTAGGGTCCTGCTCCTAGGGAGGAATAACCCCATGCACCTCTACAGGTACAGGTTAGGGGTTGACCTGCTGGAAAGCAGCTCTGCAGAGAGGCACCTGGGAGTCCTGGTGGACAGGCTGACCGTGAGCCAGCAATGTGCCTTTGTGGCCAAGAGGGCCAATAGTATTCTGGGCTGCATTAAAAAGAGAGTGGCCAGCACGTCGAGGGAAGTCATCCTCCCCCTCTAGTCTGCCCTGGTGAGGCCGTGTCTGGAGTACTGTGTCCAGTTCTGGGGCCCCCAATTCAAGAAGGACAGGGAGAGAGTCCAATGGAGGGCTACAAAGATGATCAAGGGTCTGGAGTGCCTCTGTTGTGAGGAAAGACTGAGAGACCTGGGTTTGTTTATTGTGGAGAAGAGAAGACTGAGAGGGGATCTCATCAATGCTAATAAATACCTAAAGGGCGGTTGTCAAGAGGATGGGGCCAGACTCTTTTCAGTGGTGCCCAGTGACAGCACAAGAAGTACAAGCTGGAACACAGGGAATTCCATGTCAATGTGAGGAGGAACCTCTTTACTTTGAGGGTGACAGAGCAGTGGAACAGGCTGCCCGGAGAGGTTGTGGAGAATATCTCCTTCTCTGGAGATACGCAAAACCCACGTGGATGCAGTCCTGTCCAACCTGCCCTAGGTGAATCTGCTTTGGTAGGGAAGTTGGACTAGATGATCTCTGAAGATCCTTTCCAACCCCTACCATTCTGTGATTCTGTGAAAGTTACCATGTGTTTGTTAAAGGTCCAGGTTTACTGCTGGCAGTTGCTGTTAGAGGAGCCCAGTTCGAGAGGTAGGATACATTATGTGATGGAAGTCATGAAGGATTTGTTCCTGGATGCAACATGTGTCCCAGAAAATGCAACTAAATTACATAGAAAGGCTACACAGGAAAGTTTCCTCACTGGGTACCAAAGTTTCTCCAGGCCCCAGTAACTTTGTTGTTGGGATTATGAGTAAAGAATTATTTGTATGTCCTTTCTAAAGGACCTTACAGCATGGAACGGCTAAGTTCACAAATCCACCAGAGCAAAGGGGACCTCTTGAGCTAGCAGCGTCAGGACCCCTCAGTTTCTGCAGTGTGTAGTGCACAAATATGTGGCAGGGCCACCAGGCTAGTCTGAGCTAAGTTATCAACTCTCAATTTACAGCTGGTTTAAGTGGGATATTATGTGGTTCATACTTGTCTTCAGAGCCACTGTAAAATACCTTAATCTGTGTGCCAGGATGTCCTTCTGTGGCAGGTACTTTAGCTTATTGCTTGTTTTAAATTGGCACGTGCTTCTTTGGGAATATGGGTAAAGGGTGCTGTTTTAATACCTCTTTGCTGCTTTATCTCTGGAACAAATGGAGGCTCGTGTCTAGAATGCCAACATATTCTGATCCAATAATTGTTTTTTTCTGGTTCTTTACACAAACTCCTTCTTTTGGCAGCATGTGATGGCATTGGAACAGGGAGTTTAGTGTCAGCTCAGACGGTGGATTCCAGCAACATTGACAAGTTCATAAACTGTACCAAGATCAATGGCAACCTTATCTTCCTTGTTACTGGGATTCATGGGTAAGTGACAAAATGTGAAGACGTTATGTCATGGTGCCAGCTGAAACAAATTGCGTCCGCCCCTTAATGATCTCCACAGGCTTCTTTTACAGAATAGCAGATCCAGGGTAAATTCGTTTTCTGCCTTCCATTATGAAGGATTAAGTAGACTGTTTGCGCTAGAAAGAGAAAAGACAACTGTGATTTTTGGTTACTTTATGAGGTCCTTGGTACTGGCTTACCACAATGGCTGATTAGAGAATAGAAGGGAGAAAGGGAAGTTGCTTTCCATTAGTTTGTTTTGAATTTTGTATGACCAGCCGTCTAATATGCAGAATATACAGAGAGAGTGCCTCACCTACCATAAATTGTCATAGCCTGGGGGGCTGTCACTGCATATAGGTGCAAAAAAGCTGCCCTCTTGTCAATCACTTTTGAAGTATATACTCAAGTTTCAATTGCAGAGATGCACAAAACTCACTAGTATTTAAATCCAGTATTTTGGTTTAAATAAGGCTGTATATTGAATGAGTCTTAGTAATGGTTGAAGATGTGGAGGTATAGAACCAGTATTTAGACTTCTCACCAATGTCTCTTTCTAAAGGAAGATATACCAGCCAGATAACTAGTGCCTTGCTGTTCACAGTTTGGTGCACTGTGTGTTTGCCATTGTAGCAAAGGTGAATGCAGGACGCAAATGCTGCAAGGTGGGATGCATCCAGGGAAGAGACATACTCTGTTTGATGGTCCAACACAGGTCCAATGCAACTAGCCGCTTTCTTGCATTGTATTCTTTCTGACACTGAGAGAAAACAAATATGATTGTATCTTCTTGCTAATTCAAGCCTTCATGTTGTCATCAGCCATGGTGAATTACATGTGACACTTTGAGGTATTTCAGGACCTATTAAAATGAGCAAAATCCTCAAAATGCACAACCCATTTGCCCCTTTGTTGTGATAAGTATGCAGATATTTTGTGATACATTAACAGTGTAAAGTACTCAATTGCTTCTACCACTGTGTAAGCTTCAAATTTTAACTTGTTTTTTAGGTTCCTTGCAATTGATTTTCAAGATTTGGTATCTTAAATACAGCTCCCAAACCAACTCCATGTTTGCAGCTTTACGGCATAGTGAAAATGTGATTAACTGAATGTCTGCAAGTTGATCTGCAATGAAATTCTGGCATGAGTACTGCCAGCAGTTTTTTCTTTAGACTTTCTATAGATTCAAATACGTTCAGATTGTAAGAAAGTGATTGACAGTAGGCTGCCTGGCTCAAATTTCCCTACTAGGTGAGGTGGAAACAAACCACTTGTTTCCTTGATTTGATATAGTGATTGGTTATAATACTTCACCTGCAACTTGACTCCAGCCATGAGAAAAACAGTTGAAAATCCACTTCAGTGAGACCCTACAGTTCAATGATTCTCAAAAGGCCAGCAAGTGTGAGCTTTGACTGTGTAGTTGGTCTTCTCATCTCTCCAGCAGAGAGTACAGTGTGAAAGGTTAATGTAGCATAGGGAGGAAGAAGGACTTTGGTTCAAGTGGTTAAGGAAATGCTGCTTTGAATTTCTTGAAGCCCTGGCGAAGGTCGCACAGGAGTCAGCGCTCAGGCCGTCACACTTTGTGATCTGGCCATATGACTGACCAAGAGGCTGGATGTAATTCTATTAAATCTCACAGGACAGGAAGTACTCTAGTACTTGCAAGACAAGCAGCTAGAGGACATGAGCAATTTTAGGTGGATTATTCCAGTGCATTAAATGAAATGTAATTTTGAGTATTAGAACTCCTTTTGTTGCAGAAGTTACATTAGCTGCGGAGTTACAAGATGAATCTCATTAAAAAGTCTGTCAAAATCATAGGGACCAAACCCAACCTTGAATAAAACTGTATTCATATGAAAAATATCTAAATTAAGGACTATAAAGCAGAGGGTTAAAATATTTTGTTCTATTTTAATAGAAGAATATAAGCCTAGGACATGTAACGTTGAAACTGTGCCCCACTTTGTCTCTCGATCTTTATGTTGAAAACTCACTCCAATAAGACTTAAATATGAGGACACTGAGTTCTGCAACCCTAAAGCTTTCCACAGCATAAATTGCAGTAGTATATATTAAAAGAAAAGAAAAAGATCTGAGAATTAATTAAAATAACTTTATATTCTAGAATATTTTTTTAAAATCCATTAAATTTTGCAAATCAGTAATACAGAAAGGAAATTTAAAAAATTACACTTGCTACACAAGCAGTTTGTAATATAAATGGAGAGTATAGAGTAACAACAATAATACGTATTTTCACTCAAACTTTTAGTTGACTCCTATTATGAATTTATTTACTCAGAGCGAACTGCAGCTTTAAAAGTATGATTTTTCAGTGTTTCAGATTGTAGGGACTTAAAGGCTAGGTCTCTATGGGCAATTGAAAGACTTTTTGCAGTGGCAGACAATAACTTCAGTGAAAGATGCTGAGTGGATTTTTTTGGTTGTTTTCACTGGTAACTGTGCTATTACAATCAATCCTGTCATATTTTTGCTCCTGTGATTCTGTAGCCTGTCTTTCCCTTTCCTGAGTACTTGAACTTATTCTTTATGAATTTGTAATACTTTATATACAAACTGTATATATAATTATGAATTGGTTTGATGCGCAGTAATTTATAATAGTTTATATATAAATTAGATAATTATGACTTTGCTTTAATTAGTGTCCAGAAGTTAAGTGGGATGAGGGTAGACTAAAATTTTGGTAAGTCAGTAGTACTCATTCTTTTAAGGTAATGCTGAACACTGCTGAAGTGCATGGATAAAGTGATCTTCGTTAGGATACATATCTGCTGCCTGAGACAGAAAACACATTGGCTGAAAAATGGGTAGGACCTGTTTAGGTCAGGTGCAGCCTTCTCTCTACTGTTTCCGTCGCTTGGGATGCTGAAAAGCCAAGCTGCCTTCTGCTCGTGTTGCTGCCTGTGGAGGGGTGGGATATAGCAAGGCGAGCTGTAGTTTAAGGATGGACAGCCCCAGGTAGCAGCAAATGCTGCCTCCTTCTTCCCCTCACTTGCAGTAGGAGCGACAAACCCTTAGTGTTCACCAGCTTTTTATCTTCCCTTTTGTTGTCCATCTCCAGTTTCACAACAAGCCAAAACTCTCATTCTGGGAGCTGTAGAATTCAACTGTGCCTGTTCTACTGAAAAATCTTGGCTTTGCTAATAAGAATGGCAGAAGATGACTGCATTATTCTACGGGTTTATGTGTTGATAAAACATCTAAACAGACATTTATCTGTTTGAGGAGTTTAAATGTATATTTGTATCTTTAAAGAATGCTTTATCTTAGGATTTGGAGGTGAAATTCAGCATTTTGTGTTTACTACAGGCAAGGGTTTTCTTTTTTTAATATTCATTTTTAAAAGCAAAGTGTTGTGTTTCTTAAGTAGTCAAAACTTATCTAGTTTTCCGAGAGCCCCAGATTGTTAAAATTAAGGATATATGATGCTTCTGTGGTCCCCTGTGCTTTATGTTAAGATTCAAGAACTCATTTCGTTGCTGCTAACTTGGAGTCGCTTCCAGGATGGCTAGAAGTGACCCCATTAGCCTGTCACCACGTAGACTTGTGAGGCCTGTCCCCAAAGACAGCCTGGTTGATTACCTGCATCTTCCGATTCCAAGAATGATGTCTCTTGGAAAGCAGAAGGAGGAGAGCTAGAAATGCATGCTCCATATTTACTGAAGATGTTTGCTACTATCAAAAAACCCACAAAAATACTGTAACATGGTGTTAAGGATTTTTGTTTGGGTTAGGCTTCTAGTCAGCTTCCTAAATAGTTGGAGAGTCTTTACTGCTTTAAAATTAGTGGAAAAAATATTTACTAAATGATGGCACTCTCAAAATCAAGGTCGGCTTCATCTTTTTACACTGCAGTATATCTAACTTTGAGATTTTAATGTTTGGTGGAGGTATTTAATTTCTCAGGTGACAAACTTAGTTGGCAAGGGTCTGTGCTTTTTGCTGTTCCCTGTTAAACACCTTCTAAAAAGTGTACCCTTTTAATGCCATGTGTCAGGAACTGCTGCAAGCTCTTAGTTTCGTTTTGTTTATGGCTTGTCACTCATTTCAGTAGCAGTTTTGTTAGTCCTGGTAGTACAATATTGCAACTGTACCATTTGAGCTAGTATTCCTGGAAAAAAAATTTGAAAATTTGTCTTTTCTTTAGGGACGTCACCCATGGTTGTTTAGAATCCCTTAATTTTCCATTTAAAATATTTGCTAAAACATTACTGATTTGAACTTTAATGATGCTAAGCACCACTATTTTCCATCCTTCAAGATGACTTGGGAGGAGTTAGACAAAGGTTCTGCAGGAACAGCAGTGTGAAGAAATTGGAAACAGTCTGAAGAAATCTGGAGCTGCCTAAAAGCAAAGTGTTGACCTCCTGAATACTGCTTTCCATGTCGTATAGCTTTGAGAACCTGATCATTTTTTATTCAGAGTATCACATTTTGTCCTTTTACTCTTTCAGGGACCCGTATCACACAATCGCCGCAATCAATCCAGAGAAATTAAATATCTTCCAAACAGTGAGAGAGATAACAGGTAACACACTTTCAATTTCCTGTAATCTGAACTTCTTGCTTTGTGTTTATGATTGTCATTTGTTGGGTTTTCTGAAGAATGCAAGGTGCTTCTTTTCTTTAAACTGGCAATTTAAACTCATAAAACTTGAATACACAAGAACTTCAGTATCAGTTGATATTCACAAGTATGTTGTCCTGTGGTTATGAATACAGAATGCCCATTGCGTTGGGGGTACACAAGCATCAGAAGACCAAGACCTTACTGTTGAGTGGGTGAGGGGTCTTGGTCCTTGCTTAAAAGCAATTGAAATACACCTTGGAAAAAAACAGACAAGCCAGTCTGGTTTTGCAGCTGCTTCCCTTGGTCTAATAGCAGATACTGCTGCAAATTAGCTTCTGTAATTTAAAGAAAAATGTAGGTGTGGGGAGGTAGTCCCTCCCATCTTTTGTGACTTTTCAGTGGGATCGTGTAGCTGGAACACCGTACTTTGTTTTCTTGCATCTTGCTTCTCGTTTCACCATTTGGGGGCAGGGAGGAAGATACTACAGCTTTGAGCTCTTGATTGATTGCTAGTTACGTATAGACAAGGAAATGCAAAAACAAATCCTATTTCATGCACAAAAACAATATCTTTGGACACTACAGCATGATTGTAGCTGGGTGGAGCTCAACAAGTGTTTGGCATTTGAAATAAGTTCTCTCCAATGTGCTTCACCTCTCGGAAGTTGTGTATTTCAGCAAGCCAGTGGGATTAAACAATGAAAGTAAGCTCTAAATCTCTCCCTAATTAATGTCAAAGATAATCTGGCATCTGGGTGTCTGTAATTTGCCATTCTTAAGCACACTGTCTAATTGACAGTTTCAACTCTACTACTTAAGTGGAATTATCCCTATGCTTAAAGATAGACTGCATTTCAGTCCAGTACTGAATCAAAATCCTAGGGAACTGCACTCTGTAGAGGACTGTGTAGCACACACACAAAAAAAAGTAGTTCCACTTACTTGTGCAGAGAATGGTCTCTCATGATGAACAGTCTTCAAACACACTCAGAAATGAACGCAAGCTCTTTGTTTTAGGAAAGTCTTGTCATCTTTTACTGCATCGTTACGGATCTCTCAACTTCATTATAAAACTGAATGTTCTTAATTCAGGCAAATCTTCATTTTTTCCTGTTGCTGCTGTTTAGAAAAGTCTGGGAGGCCTTTCAAGATTCCAGCCTGTGGTTAGGTTCACCCTCACTGTGGCTGTTGAAAGTGGAAGTAATGCTGCTGTGACTGTTAGAGTCCTCCTTTGCCTTCTTGGAGGAGACAGTGGTGAGCAGGCTGATGAATTCGAAGACATTAGTCTGGAGCATTCATTACCTGTTTATTCCTTTTTCTCAAACCAGCACTGTCTTTCATTTATAGGCTAAGCCTGTCCTAATTTGTGTATGTGATAAAGCAATCTTTATGGCTGAAATCATTGACATTCATATGCTTGCCTTTTTCTCCTTTAGGATATTTGAACATACAGTCATGGCCTGAGAATATGACAGATTTCAGGGTGTTTTCTAATTTGGTTACTATCGGTGGAAGAGCTCTCTATAGGTAAGCTACTTCCTCTGTTTATAGAATAATTTTTTATTAGTATTCAAGGATTCTTCATTCAGCAGCACAGAGTGCAACATCCTTTGGGAAAAGCATCATAAATTGATGTTTTTCTTTGTTACCAGGGTATTCATTAACAGTATCTTTGCTGATCAGTTGTTTATAATAGGTAATACTTTTTAAACATAATGATTTATTTTTTTTTTAAAAAAAACAACATCTTGGTTCATTGCTGTAACTGTTAACTCATTGTCCGGAAAGTACATCTTATGGCTTAAAATAGCTTGTGAATGTGAAACATAACTTAAAAGACATTAATAGTAGAATTTAGCCCCATTGTCAGGAAGTTTATATAGTTGTAATTGGAAGTGCCTAAAGAACAATGTGGTCTTAAGAAGTGGTAAAAGATAAATACATGTAAGAACACTGAAATCACTGAGGTACCTTGCAGGTGGGGTGTACATTAGCTCTGTAGTGCCATTTTTACCAGAGATGCTTCTGTATGAAAACTCATATGGAGGAATTGATTTGGAGAGAAGAAAATGTGGTGAAAAATAAGGTAGGAAGGTATCTGAATGATATATACAGCAACCCCTGGTTCCCCATTGTGTAAATATAGTAAATCAGTCATGGGATTCTGCTGTCATCTTAAACAGCAACCAAGCAGATTATGAATAGCAGTGAAACCTTGAGATTGAATTACAGCCCAGCATTCTGTTTGGAGGCAGCAATTTTTATTTGGAACAGCTGGAAAACAATTATAATAATTAAAGTGCGATAACGTAAAGGATGCCCAGAAACTGGATATTGTCTTCACTAATCTTCAGTGATAAAATATGTGCAGTCATTTCCGTGTTACACAGACAATCATTTACCGTTCCTTTGATGAAAAAAGGAGATAACCACATATTACAACAAAAGAAAAATGAAATGTAGAAAGTGGGCTGGAAAAATTTCCTTGAAAATAACAATTTCTTCCTGTATTACTATAAATGACACTAATTTGATGCCTGACAGAAGATGTTAATACATTTTGTATGACTTTGTCAGTTTCTCCTTAGCATATAAACTATCATAGTACGAATTTTGTTGTCTTGGGAAAAAAAAAGTATCTGGAATTTATTCAGTTTTCTTAACAGCACTTCATCTCAAAAAAACATGTTAATGGATGAAATGTAACTAGTTGAGGTGTTTTGCTGGCCCAGTTGGCCTAGTGCTGTGAGCATCACAGCTTGTGGTATCACAGGGCTCATAATTTTCTATGCAATAGAACTGGATGTTGACTCATAAAATATTTGTCACCCCAAAATAAAAGTTTTCTGACCAAATTTCAGTTTTGCCAAAAAGATCGTCTTGACATTAGGAACTAATTCTAGTGGGAAGTTCCCAACCAGCTCGAATAAGTTCCACCTCTGGAGCTAATTCCCGTTCTCTC